GAATCCCATATAGACTCTAATTCCCCTATGTTTGTGACAATTAAGAACAACAGAGGAATGAAGACTGGAGTTCCCTTCACAAGACTAGGCTTTCACACAGAGATGTTAGACCAGGCGCTTCCAACCAGTGCAGACAGAGAGATCCAAACAGTGTGTCAAGAACTGTGCCACAGGAGACTTAAGCCCTGGGTGCCAGGTGACACCAGAAAATAGGCAGTGCAACCCATTAGAGAGAAAAGGAAGTGGTCAGAAGAAAAGCAGCAATGTGAGGAGCTAAGTATAAATATGGATGCTGTATCATTTACCTTGCAATCTGGCAAGACCACGGAGCAAAGAACAAACTACTCATCATAAAGTGCCCAAGGTTTTCATTCTCCTCCTGTGGCTAACTCCATCACCAAGATCTGACTAGTAACTTCACATGTAGACCTCCCTGGGTCGGACGGCACAGGGAAATGACAACAGAGACTGCACCTGGCGCTGACGTTTTATAAGCATGCCACCTTGGGCATGTCACTCTAATGTCAATCTTGTTTTCTACCACTGAAATGCTGGCCAAACGCCTCTCCATTCTGGGCTGTTACAAGTATTAAGATTTGAAACATGGCAGGGTTAGAAAAGTGCTCAGAAATGTCCATAAACTATCTCAGTTAAATACAAATTATCTGGCCACTAAATATTTCAGAAGGGCAACTTGATGGACATAAAAAAAATTCAACACAGAATTCAACAAGAATTCTCATATCACATATAAACAATTAAAGGATTAATAAGATGTTCCTTAGGAAAGAGAGTACCCATAAATGTGAAGCTCCTCCTCTCTCTCAGAGAGGACAACACTTTCTCAGAAGCAGAGACTGCTTTCCCTCTCTACCTCCAGGACCAGCACAAAAGCCCAGCATGGAAAGCTATCCATAAACACATAATTAATGTCCAAATGCCAAAACATTGTAACTCACAATCACTAACAATACACTATATAAAACTCAGAAATGGACTACCTAAAACTGAGTCATCATATCTATTTTCATACAAAAACATAGCAAAAAATTAAAAATATAAAACTGATAACAGAAGAAAAACAATTAACATCTAACCACATCCCCCTCTGGATGCAGCACAGAATCACACATCATAGCATGAAGGCATCCCACTCAAACACAATTTAGAGATTCTCCTTGCTTTACGAGGCTGACAACATTCAGGCAAATCAAAATTGTTTTCCAAAGGGATCTCCCAAAATAAAATGTTAAGCCACTGTGTCTTATAGCATGTGCATTCCTATGTTTATGCATTTCCCCTTTATACATCTGAATGCCTCACATATATCCTAGGTAATGCTAAGCACCCTAGCACTTGAGATGTAATGTAAAAACAAAACAAAACAAAACAAAACACTTATTTTGAAATACCAACAAAGAACTTTATGAATCTGAACAAAAACAGACCACACTTCCTCCTGTAACCAAAACTAAATGTGACTTGGCAGGGAATGAGCCACCAACCATATATTACATCAGATAATTAAAACAGTGTTATGTCATCTTATTTAATGGTTACTTGGCTTGGATTGAAAACCATCCAAACCAATACTGAAGAGTTGGATTAAATTACAATGCATAGACATTTCTTCAGATGTTTTTTAGTAAGAGTCAGCACAACTCCTACTAGCAGACAATACTCCTACGCAACAATATTCTCATCTCCAATGAACCTCCTTAGCAAGAGACACAATGTCAATTCACCCTACAGGCACCTGGGTCAGGGGTGCCCTGGGAGGCAGGCAGTGGACACAGAATACCAAAACCTATTTGCTTTGATTCCATTTTAGCATCAGGTAAACACTAATTTTTTTTTTAGAGAAACAAATTCAATATTTAAGGGAGGTAGAAGAGAACCAGTTATCCTGAGAAATAAAAATAAAATCAGTAACTAATGCCCATCATGAAACACGAATCTGGGAAAAGTAAAAAGGTCAACCTGTACTGAATAAGAGCACATCTCTTGATGTCATCCATCATCCAGCTCAAGTCTTACATAAAGATTATTAGGAAAAAATAATTTAGCCACAAAGTTGATCGATGTTTTTGAATACTGAATATCAAAACAGGATAACTCATTTGTTATCTCATTACATCTAATTTATTATTTTCATTACCATAATTTGCTGATTTGTAAACAAAACTACTGGTAACAGGCAGGCTTTAATTTAAAAGTGCCTGTTGACCTGATATTAAAATCCTGTGCTCTAATGAACATTTGTTTTGTCAAAGAAGACAAGTACAGAAAAAAATTTTTAAAACTCAGGATAAGTTTTCCTAAAGACACACATTATTTATCTTATGTTAAGTCTACCAGGAACAATCATATTAATTTCACTGATTTCTACAGGGTTTTTAATTAGCATGTGCAAAGTGCTTCATTCTGTCTTTGGAGGAAGACACAAGGACAATGACCTCAGAGAAAGACAGTTTGAGAACAAATTGGGGGTAGTCTAAAGCCATATAGCTGTCTCCCTGGGAGACACCAATATCTTGACTAACAGAAATGTTAAGTGTGAGATGGAACTAGATGCATGTGTCAAAGTGCCTTGGAAATTTTAAAACACTAAGCGAACATAATGTCGTGTCACCATTTGGAGATGTTAACTGCAAAATATATCTATTACATGTCACAACACAGTAAAATAAAAGTTCAGAAGGCTGACCAATCATCACTTCAAGATTTTTAGTGCCAGCATAGATTTAATGCTGGGATAAGAATAACTTCTGAGAGAAAAAAAGACTTTCCTTAGGGGAAAACACATAAAAACACAGCTAAATGAGAATAAAAGTACTTTCATATAGGCAATAACAGGATGCTCATCAGATATAAAATCAAACTTTCCTAACTAACATTCAAAGTCTGTCTTCAGACACTATGCTTTAGAAAGGCACTTGTAATTTTGGAGTTATGTAACAGCATAATTAATATTTTAAATGACAGAGCTTTGCATTCTGGATAGCGGCCTAGAATTTAAAGGAAAACATTTAGTTCAAAGCCATCTAAATTAACAGCATTAACAGGAACATCTCTCCCTTCAAATGGGAGAGATGCACTTCTTACAAGAATTACACTTGTGATGAAAAGTAAGGTAATCAAGCCTAACACCCCAAAATCACTAAATGACAACATTTCCCCAATATCAGTTTAAAGTAAGTAGAAGCCATTATCACTAGTAAGAAGAGAAACCAAAAGAAGTGTGAACCATATTACCAACAAAATACTGTGGCAACATGGCACAGAAAATAATGCTGACTTTTGCAGTAAGAAAACTCATTACATTTTTAGTTAAACTGGTTCCTTAATTGAGCATACTGTAACTTTGATTCAGCTTCTTTATTAGGAAAACTGCACTTGATGCCACTGTCCAGAATATTTTTAATGCTAATGATCTCACACAATGTACAAAGAAATTTCTTTCACAGGGCTGACAGCCCAGCAGGCAACAAAAGATATATGTAAATCATAAAGAGCAAGGAGTACAAACCTAACTGCAGAACTGCTCAGAAGGGCATGGGAATAAAACTCACATTCTTTTTCTCTTAATTCAGGAACTTGTGCCCATTGCTTTTTCAAAAGCCCTTTTTATTAAAGAAATAAGAATAAACATTCAATGAAAATAAAATGGGAGAGCTCTATGAACCTACAATTTTTGTTCTACAATCCAAATATGCTTAAATTGTTGGAGACGGGCAGAGCCTCTCCATGAGCCCCACCAGTCAACAGCTCAAGCGCTACTTCTACTTCGTAGAACAGGCTTCAATAGGTACCGGAGGTCGTAGTTTCAAAATCTAGTGCCCATACACAAGAATATGTCTGCCTTGTCTTTCACTTCCAACAACAAAAAAGGCAGGGCCAACAATAGGAGCAGAAGCCACGATTTAAACAGGGAACCATAGACTGTCACAGCACAGAGTGATTCATGCATATGGTGACAGATCTGACCAGATAATATTTCTGTCATTTCCCAGAGAAAAGCAGCCCAGTGCCGCCAGCCCATCTTCATCTGAAGGGCAATGCCAGATACAGGAGCAGTGGAGTGCCCCGGGCAAGGAAGGCTAAGTTACCGTCCATCCCTGCAGAGGATTCAGGGCGCCAGAGCAGGAGCACGCCAGAGGAACCCTGTCCCGGTAGGCGTGCCCAGTAAACCCAGGATCCCGTGCTCCGGCGCTTCCCCGAGCCCGTCTCACCGCGCTGTGTGGCGGAGTGTGCGAAAGGCACAGGCGGCACAGGCTTTCTCCGCTTGAACCCCAAGACAGCCGCCAAGGAGGTCGCCCACCCGGCGCTTCCCAAAGACTGGAGGACCAGCCCAGAAAGGCTCCCGCCGCCCGCCGCCCGCTGTCGCTCCGGCGCCGAAGGCCGCCTGCGAGCCGGCTGAGCGCGCGGCCCGGGAGCGCAGCCTGCCCCGCCAGGACAGCCACCTGCGCCGGGCCACCGGAGGGCGGGCCGGGCACTGGGCTTCCCCTGGGACCCGGCCTCTTTCCTCCCCCGCGCGGGAGGTCTGACCCGAAGCCTCTTCCCAGGTCCCCAAACTTCACTAACAACCCAAGCACCTGTTCCCTTCGCTCCTCTGCATCTGATCCCCTCACGTCCTTCCATTTTCCTGAAGCTCTTTCTCCAGCTCCCAGACAAGCCGAGCGCCGGTTCCGAGTCCCCCCTCCCCTCCAATGAGATCATTCAACCTCCTCCCCACTGAGCCCCCACCCAGAAGTTTCCCCTGGGTATCCCCGAGTCCCCAAAGATTCCCCGCAAGTCCTGTCCCGACGCCCCAGCCTCCCGCGTCCTCCCCGAGCCCCAGGTGCGCCGCGGCTCTTCCCCAGGCGTCCCGCCTTCGTCCGGGCCCCGCCCAAACGCCCGGAGACCGGGTCACCGCGGCGCCCCGAGTCCTCGCACGGCAGCCCCGGCCTCTGCCCAGGCGACCCGCAGCCCCGCGGGCAGCTGACAGCCGGCGCCCTCACCTTGGTTCACCAGGCGCAGGGCGTGCGTGAAGGAAGGGTCCAGCGAGTCCTTCTCCGCCATCAGCTCCGGCAGGTACTTCTCCTCCATGCTCGCCGGCCACCCGGGCCCGGGACGCGGCCCCGCAGCCCGA